CATGGAATCTTCTTGGGAGGATTCCATGGAGATGTATCACTCCGGAGCTGAGCGGAGCGGAATTGAACTCCAGAAAAGCATCAACGATTAAATCAGACTCAATCCAATGAAGTTCAAAAACTCGTATTCCTCTAACCCTCTCTATCACATTCCCTTGCTTTCACTCTTTGCTCATTCATGTCTATCTGCAATATTGCTATCTACACCTCTGTGCCTCCGTGCATTCTTCCCTCACCCCCGCCCCCCGAGCATGTTTGTATGTATGTAGGTTGCCAGGTATATGTATGGCACCATAGCAGGACTCGTAGACCGGACCCAACCACTCATTCCGCTTTCCTCCCTGTCGCCCGCCCGATCCACCGAAGAGAAGATAGACCTTAGACGTCGGATATGCTACTCGGTGGACGGAATGCATTCCGACTTATGTGCACGGGGGGTTATGCATCGATATATCCATACATACATTTGGAGAGTTTATGTATGAGATGAGATTTCATTTTAAGACAATATAATGGGTTGTTGCCGTGGACGTCTGGATTGAGTTCGCCGAGAAATGTGCATGTACGGCTCTCGCTCCCTCCAGCACACATTCACCAAGTAAAGAAAAGTTATGGTGGAGCGAAACTAAACACATTCAACTTCGGTGAATAACGGGTCCCGATATCCCGCCCGGTGCCATCCATCCCCTTCATCTATAGCCCGGACGGTCGTCATAAGAAAAAATTCACGACGCTGGATTTTCCCATCCAAGCATCCGGCAGCGCTCTCTGATCACGCGTGCCAGGGCACCTCCATCACCGTATGCAGATCCAGCACCTCCACCAGCACCTCCTTGTCGGCTCCTTGAATCCGCTAATTCAACGTCAGCCGAGGCACGGTAAGTGTTTCCAGCTACCCATCCGGGAAAGTCTGGTAGATCGTCGTGTCTTCCAGGCGAGCCTCGGTTCGTGTCGTCGAGCAGATCGGCGAGCTGGACGGCAAGGCTGGCCCACTGCTGGGGCGACGTGATGTCGCAGCGTTTAGGTTCCTTGTTGTCTTTGCTTTGGACTTTCGTATCTGTGTCAAGACAGGAGGCATCGTGATCGCAACTGAGATTGAGATTGCTTTTGGTAGAGAGGGCGGCGGTACCTGCATCCCGAGGTGCTTTAGCGCCGGGAGCTGCCCCGGATTCGGCTGTGTGCCCGGACATGACGCTAGGGAGCCTCTGGGGTGCAGGGTCGGTTTCGTTGCATGTGGACGATGCGAGCTCTTCAGGCCTCGGTTCGTTGTCGTGGGGTTGTTGCTTTCTTTGATCAATGTTGTTGATCCTCGCCTGGCTCCAGTACAGAATGTCGACGGAAAGATTGAACAACGTCGAAGCTAACCATTCGACCTCTTCGGCTGGGTACCTGAGACTGGACGGATGATCCGATCCAATCGCTAGAGATAATGCCTGCTCGGTGATTGTCTTCACTATCTGCAGCGCTTGTGCTTGATCGGAGTCCAACTTTGAACTATTTGTGGTGGTTCGCTTGCTGATGTCATGTTGGTCAAGGATAAGCTGCACAACGCAACGAATTCAGCGTGATGCTTGAGAGATATCGTATGTTGTCTCATTACGAATACTGTGGATCAGCTTGCTCAGAAGCTCTGTTGCGCAATTGGTTGAAAGATTTGTAGCACGGGTTCGGGCTCGCGGGCGGTTGCCCTGTCTCGATACAGCGTAATCAGCATCGGCAGTGACAGATGCTAGAATCATATCCACAATCAGTGGGTATGCTACATCAGGCGCTTTCAGTTCCACCGCATGGTCAACCAGCTGACTGAGCGACAGAAGGCTCTCTGGGAGATTTGAGTTTGAGGTTTGCGTTATTAGGAACAAGGTCGACTCGAAGGCGAATGGGAGAAGATTGACGAGCTTCGCCTTTGTATGCTTCAAGAGATCTCTGTCCACCATGCCTTCGACCAAACCATCAAGTAGACTCTGAGAACACGAATACTTGTCCACCAGATTCCGGTACAGTGTAGATCGTAATTCCTCTGTGATTGGTGGTGTCTCACTGGAATAGGACGACTTAGGCATATCAGAGATAGTTGTCGATGAGCAGCATGCTCTTGCCGCCCTCAGATATAACATGGCTTGAACACATGAAGCATCAATCTCGTAGATCTTTCTGTCGACTTTATCCTCTAGGGAGATTTCATCCGGATATCGTATCTGGTACGTATTAGCATTGAGCAAGATGGTAACTGTTCGAATGGTACCTGGCAAGAATAATGCAATAGATCTATGATATACTTGTCAGGCCACGTGTCGATATTTTGCACAGCCGTTCTGAAAACTGTCACTTTGAACCATTTGCAATCACTGAGCGACAAGGCAGTTGATGATAACTCTCGGGATGATTCGTTGTAGGTGAGGGCCGCTACTGTCTTCAGTATTGCACATAGCCTTGAAAGGAGCTCTTCTAAGTCGTAGTCTTCTTCTGTGAGGGCCAAGATCAAGAGGCGAGCAGTACATCTAAGCAGTAACGGCTTATCGATTTCAGGTGATGGGGTATTGTGGTACTTGTCGAGGATTCGCTGTAACAGCTGGGCTCCTTGCCGCTTTGTCCCATATTTCATGGTTTCAGAAACTGCAGCAAACAATGTGCGATTTTGATCGCTGTGAGCCAAAGCCAATGCATTGAGAGCAGATTGTACTAATTGGTTAGCAAGATGCAATGTTGGCGACGGGGATGTGCGTACTAAGACTGCTATCGTGACGTCGGAGCGCGAGGCTGTAGCAGAGAACTCGACTCAACGGGTGACTTTTCCGGGTTGCTGGCATATCTTCAAATACACCCAGTGCCGCGTTGAATTGAGATAGCTCTAGATAGCATTTGATCATCATTCGTTCGATTTTCCCAATATTCTCGTCTCCAGCATTTGAGAACAGCTTGTGCAGCGCGATGCAACACCATTGGACAGTGTCTCTGTGATGTTCTGTTTTGAAACTATCTCCGATGCGTTTCCAAAGGAGAATGAAGGCACCATGAGTTGCTTCTGGGCTAAGTGCATTGCTCCAAACCTCGTACGTATCATTCAGAGCCAACTCGAGTTCATTTTGAACTGATGTCGAATCTGCAGCGCTCGTAACCAACATCCATAAGAGAGTGAGCAGCCCGGCTTCGACCCAGGCCACATCGTCATGAAGCACTAACCGCTGGACGATATATGTCCGCAACGCTTGGGAGGCAAAGCTGGGACTTGTAAGCTTCAAAAGATGGATGTGATGCAGAATCAATCTGTGGTTTGTTGGGATTAGATGCGCACAACCTATCACGTCTAAGAGCACCGAATAGTATGCGTCTTGACCGAGTTTCGAATTCTGCGCGTACACTTCGAGCTGGAGAACTTTGACAGGGAATTTGTCGAAGTTCTAAGGCCGTCAGATCAATATTAGATGGACTGGGATCGGACCTCACCGAACGTAGCGACTGGAGAGCAATTACACCTTCATCTTCTATCTCATGATCACGCCCATGATCTACAAAAAGAGCTCTGACTGACACGAGTATAAGATTGTTGTTCTCTCGAACCGTGTTCGACAAAAGACCACTCACCGTGCGAATGCATCAGATTGAGCCGTAGCTCGCTTATGTCCACGTCCCCGGGTTCAAGCCCTTGATCAGTACAAACGTAGAGGCCTCTCCGTAGCCACTTTCTCGCGAGAATCATGTGATCCCGCTTCATCTGATCGTTCCCGATTTCGTAACAGAGGTCTCCAAATTGTTGGCGGTCGCTAGCGGTAAGGGTAGATTGAACTCCTTCAAGCTGATGACCGAAATGCTCCGCAAGCTCGAGACGATCTTGTTTCCAAGCCTATACAAGTTAGGGTATTTCACAGACTGCTCAAGTGTGCTCTTACCAAGAGGATGCGCAGCAGTAGGTATTGTGTTCGAAGTTCCGGTGATACACCTTCCAGCCTAGACGCCAACTGCTCGACTATTTTGGTGCCGATGACAGTAAGGGCGCCGCCAGTGTCAACAAGCAGGCAATCCTTCACAGCTTTGAGCCCACTGTTGAAGGTTCTCTGGTTTACTGCATCTTTGCGATATGAACCGGCAGCTGTGTCGAGGACAAGGTATGCAAAAGCACGTACTATCTCGACTTTAGAACATATGTATTGAGTCAAGAATCGAAATACCTTTGGCTAGGTCTGTCAGGTTGAATAGGTCTTGACCGCTCTCACGTAGAGTACGGCACCGATTCCAAATGGCAACTCCAACTCGATCGAACTCCACGCATTGAGGTGGTGAGATGTCTTGTTGAGAAAGTGGGAGTACTTCAATGTAGATCGAGATATCGGGGAAAGGCTGAGTGGACGATGAGTGATGCTTGTCAAGGTAGTCCTGTAGGTGCTTTGCAAAGTCTGGGGTTATCAGCTGTGTTCAGTGGGTGGAGGCCAGTTCGCACATACCAAGCACCGATTGAGCTTTTCTCGTAGATTTGGTCGATGGCATGATCGAAGATACTCGAACGAGAGATGGAAATGTTGCAGTCGGACCGAAAGCCTGCCATCAACTTGATTTGAAGAGAGTGTGTGAGTTCATGTCAGGTGTTCAAGATGGCACGTGACGGTGGAGGACAATTAAGGAAAGAGCACTCGAGACAACGAAGAATCGAATAACAGCGAATGAAGCAACAATATACAAGTTCTCATTTTCCATCCTAACATATGTTGTTTTCGCCATGCACAAAAACTCCAGATGAGATTATGTTTTTGCGGGATTGATGGGTAAGAAATTGCCCACAATCAATGAGGGTCTAGGGCGAATTAGTGATGTACACTCGAGCAGAGCTAGGAAGGAAAACAGCAACTCACATGTTGTGATTGTCTCTGCGAATCGTAAAAGAGAAGCAACAAGGTATTTCGGCAATTTCAGATCCCGCTACCGGGCAACGAAGGGTGCAGCTTGTGAGCATCGCCTTCTGCTGCTGGTCGAAACAAATGGCACAGAATTTCTCCCAATAGCTGACCAATTGGTCTTCCACGATGATTTCATGTATGGCCAGCTTGCCCTGTTATCATATTCGTTAGTCGAGAGTAACTCCAAGGCCGCCAAAATACTCACATCACGGAGTGATTCTATAGGTGCGTGAATCAACTCAGCCATTTCCTTGTTACCCCGGAAAATCTCGCCAGTCCTCCTCCAACAACAGGCAGGGATCGCCATACTTGCAAAGATTCTATCATACTCCATGAGACTCCTTTCGAACCACATCTCGACCAAGACCAACTCAATATCTGTCAAGCTTTGCATGCGCTCGCGGAACTTGGGTCGGAATTGGTCCAATTGCATCAAAATCTTATGTCGAGACGAATGTTTCATGTTCTTCTCCATGTATTTGTTGAGCCTAGCATAGCCATTCACATAATTAAATGGTCTTAGCATCCCGGCGTCGTATTTAGCCTTGAGAAGCTTATTCATACGCTCTTCGGGCGACTCTGTCCCACTTGGGTCTGCCGCCATCATGTAGTATTTCTCTCTTGCCTTGTCTGAGATGGGCTTCACACTCGAGGGTCTCGAGATCAAAGCGCCTTGTGTGGCAAGATTCTGGTTGTTGTTGAAATTAGGCGGCTGGGGCGGCTGTTGCTGTTGCTGAGCAGATAATTGTTCGGCGCCAGATGGCGGAAAGACAGCTTCAGCCATCGAATTCATGAAGGACGGGTCATAATGACCACCGAACTCGTCGGTAGAATGCATGCCTGTCTCTTCAAACAAACTAGTGCTGAGGAAGTCGTTGAGCAAGTTGAACTCGTCCGTGACTTCATTCGCGTTGAACATGAATTGAGGATGAAAGGCGTGCATGTCGTGAAAGCGATTTTGAACGCCGAGCCACGGATCGTTGTAGCCGAAATCTGGGAGCATCAGTTTGCGAGCATCAATCACGATTTACGAGCGAGACCCACGGGCTTGAGTCGTGCCATTATTGATAGTACCTCCAGCTTGTGCAGGGATGCTAGGATTTGAGGAGGGCATGGTAGCATCAGCAGTCTGTCTCATGGCCATGTTGTCATCTTGCATCAAACTATGGCCAGCCTCATCCATCAGAGCAGATGGTCCTAGAGTTGGTGTTGCAGTGGCGTATTCATCTTTGCTGGGAGAGGTATCGTCGGCATCGGGGCCCGTGGCATCAGAATCGGCTTTGGATTTCTTGTGATATCCGTGGCCTTCTCTTGGCTCATCATGACACAAATGTCCAATGTTTCTCTTGATGCAGCGCTTGCAAGGACGATCCTGAGACATGGCCCCAAAGAGGGATGAGTTAGTCCGGCAATCTTCAACAGGCAAATGCGCTCGTTATGGGAGGAGAGGGAAGTCGTACAGAATCGCAGGTCATATGCTGTGCGTCCCCAAAGCTGTCCGTTAGCCCATCATATCCACAGCGATGCACCTGAATCTCGGTGCTCCTATTTCTAGGTCTGCTGGAATGCTCACCGAACGGCGACAATAAACACATGCTATACTCGAGGGTTAGTCGAACCTGCGACCGAAGGGAAGGGAGTGGGGTGTAGGCGAACCATGATTGACTTTGCGCTTCTTCTTTGGCTGGTCGGTGGGTGAGGCCTGACCAGGTTTGCGCGAACTGGTGGGAGAGGAGGCGTCAACTGACATTGAGTTCCGACTGTCAGTATTCCTCGCCGAACCACCGCCTGGGAGGTCAGGCTCATCTTGGTGATCTGACATTGGCCGCTGAGTTTCGAATTTAACGAAGATTCTTAAGAACCAAGGATGGAGGTAGGAGCAGTGGTGGGTGCCATGCGATCAAAGCTGCTCGTTATCCGCAAATTAGATGAGGAGGTACAGGACTAAGCCGCAGTACTTTCGGTGAGAAGCCTGAGATGGAATTCGTCTCCATGGACGGGTTAGGAGTAGTGATCAAGAAGAATGAGGACGAGGCCAAGCAGCTTGCGGGGACTTGGAGAAGAGAGACAGCTTCAAGGCTGAAAGGCCCAAGGCTCAAGATTTCCCCATTTTTGCAGGCTTGCGGGCAGACCACCACAACGCAATTGAGCTTGCAATGAGTGGTGGACTGAGGGGATGGCACGAGCAGCGGATACCTCAGACTTCAGGCTCCTGGGTGGGTTTTCGCCGAAAGGTTAGCGCCCAATCATGCCTGGGCCGAGGCCAGGCGAAGCTCTCACCGTCGCCCCTCGGCCGTGTGGACGCTTTCGCCCGTGTGTCTGCGCGCCCGAATCATCCTTGGGTCCCCGGATATTGGTTTTGCCACCCTACATGGCGCTCTCGAAAAGCGCATCTGCACCCAATTGCGAACTACGGATACTGCAGGTACGGACATGGCCAGTACGGAGTAGTTGACAATGCAGGATACCATTAGTCACTTGCTGGATAAATAAGAGCCAAAATAGAGTCATGTTTTTCATGTCAAAGAAGTATAACTATGGTGAACACCCACCATAGACTCCCTAGCGTAGGCTACTCATATCATTTACATACCCATCCCATGCAGATTTCCATGGGTGTAAAGGTTGAAGAAACTTGGAAAGTTGTTGAGAGTAGTATATGTCCGTTTTTAACCCATTTCCACGCCATTAACTTCATGGCCGACACAAGAATCCCGATGGCAAAACAATCCATCCGTCCATTTTACCCACCCACAATTGTTTCAATAGTACAGTGCTGAATTTTAAAGATACCATATTACAAGCCTCCGATTGCGCCTGCATACCCTAGATGTTGATACTTGGTCGCATGCGCTTTCTTCCTTTACCACCAGGAGTGCTGTCCTCTTCGCGCTCGCGCGCTCGCTTTTCTCTCTGATCCAGAACCAAGCTGAGAACGTCGAAACCAAACTGAGGGAACTCGAGACACATGGCCTTGAACTCGGCTTCGGCTTCGTGTCGCAATACGTGAGAACGAGTGGCCCAGAATGCGGCAACGGGCTTCCGTATAATGTAATCGTCGGTAGGAGTGTTGGCGTAGACAAAGCGAGCATATGCGATCTCGCCCACCGCGGTGGAGTTGATGCGATGAATCTTTGAGTGAGCCAGAGTCTTGAGATCAGGCAAGCCGAGCTTTTCAGCGAGTGTGTAGACTCGTGCGTGTTTCAGGAGTTGATCGCCGGTGTCGTCGACAGTGGGGATCGAAGGGTCGGGCTCCAAGCCATCAGGAATGTTTGCCAGCCGTCTGGGAAAGTATTCCCCTGTGTATTGATACTGCAGGAAGCAACCCACCGCATCCAATGACTCGTCGTGCATCTCCACCACGATATCGTCTTCATCTTGTGTTGCGACTCGTTCTTTGATCCATGGTGACTGCTCGATGATGGCTTTGTGAGCAGTCAACGTGGTTTCTTCTCCATTGGAGCCAACGGCTAGTCTCACGATAGGAGACTTTAAGTATTCAAGGAAAATGGTTTGTGGATTGCGCACGGGTGCGTCATTGTTGTCGGCGGCATCTTCTGCATCATCATCTTCAAGCGCTTCGGCTGTTTCTTCTTCGCCTCCCATATCAACATCAGCTTCGGCCGAATCGCCGACTTGAGTGAGATCTTCGTTGTCGGCCATTGTGATTTGGGGTTGTGCGCAACTGGAATAGAGGGCGGCTAAGGGTTGAAACCTGGACGGGATAAGCTTTGGGAGTTGAAGGAAAAGAAAGAGGAAACCATTTAGGAATTAGTAACGAGTGGATTTGATCAAACGAGTGAGCCCTGACCTTTTACAGGGTGTTTATGCGTGCGCAATTGAATCTACACTGCAGAAATCTGGAAGGTTGGATTGCCCAAATGGGCGAGCTTGGAAAGCAGAGCTCTCAGCCTCGGCCTTCTGGTAGCCTTGCCAACCTCGACCTCGAACTTGAACCATTATTTTTGAACCCATCAAAGACTTTTACGTCTTGCAAGCTCCTAAATCTGACTTTGTGAAAGTGTCTCCCACGGACAGGTACTTGTGAGCCACGTGAATCGTGAGTCATTTTGAAGATAAAATACTAATGTCTACCCCACCTCGTCCTCACCCCTTCTCTCTCTCTCCCTCCCTACGAGCTGGCGCTAGAATGTAGTAGCACAGTCTCTCATCGTAACAGGTATACATGAAGAATGATGATAATTTCTCGAGGTTCAAAGAGCTGACTGTGTTTGAATAAATTGAGTACAAGAACACTGCGAACAGAGAATAATCCGACCTCAGCCTGGTTTCTTTGGAGGAATGTCCTGTTCTCGGGGTTGAGCCATTTGAACATGGCGGAATCACTCGTCTTGCGGGACATATAAAACGAATGGCAACAGTGTAAGACTAAACTGTCGTTAAGAAACTGGATACGTATTGATATCATTCGTCGTCAGGCTGTGAGGCGGTGGCGGCTGATTTAACAAACCTGGTCGTACAATCAAGTCCGATCCGTGAAAGCGAACAAAAACAACACTTGTAAGATGTACGGGCACAGGAAGAATCTGCTGGTCAAGGCGAAATGTTTTCTCGACTCGGCAAGGACCATGTTCAACGGCTCTTAGCTTCTAGCAATCTGAGGTTCTAAGCTCGTATATTAAGCAGGCCATAGTAGATAGAGGAGGCAGGTATGTAAAATTGTCCTTGTGAAAAGAGCCTATCTAAAATGCCTGGAGAGTACCTAAGGAAGCCGTGTTTGGACGATGCCATTTAAGCAGAAATTCTATCTGAGGCAAAACAACTGTTTAAAGAACGGGGCGTGAACTTTAGCACCTGGACAGATTCCAACAGGAGAGAATGCAAGGCTCGGATAACAGAGCCTTGCCCAGTCTCCATCCGAGATATGTCTGGGGTGCGTTTTAACTCCAGAAGTATGTGGCTATGACGGAATTTGATAATGGAGAAGGCAAGATGAATTCAAGCTAAACAAGCAGTCAGGTAAGGGTACGAGGTTTAGTGTTGATGATTGATTGGAAGGATCGGAAGCCTAGAGGCTCATACCTGGACCCTGCTTTCCGGGGGCCGAGGGGCATTCAACCGCACTAAGTAAGCGCAATCCGGAGCTGCAGGCACCAGAACTCCGGAGTCTGCGAGGCCGAGGGGCCCAATTTTATTTTCTTCACCGCCTGCGGTTGTGGCAATGAATGGCGTGCTTGCTCCATGAGATGTTGCCATTGTTGTCCAACGACCAAGCACGATACATCGGTCCAAATTGATGCAATGCCATCATGGAAGCCATCAGACGTAATTATTATCCATGCTTTCCCATGAGTCCGCTTTTCTGCTTTTCATTCTTTCCACAATCCGTGAATCGAATATGGAATTCCAGAGTTTCTCGCCATTTGCCTACCCCCGTCCTCCCAAATTGTTGGAGGATTCTGCCGGCAGCTGCTGCAACAAACCCAACTCACAAGTCCTCATTTCCTCCTCCTCGTCTTCACCAACTTGAACTTATCGTTGCCCCACATACGCCAAACCAATATCAGTAACAATTTGATCTCGTGCAGATAATTCAAGCCGTTCTACGGTTACTTTCAGGCAGCAGACTCCGTGTCACTGTGACTCTGGTCATCACGACTTGTCAATTTCCAAAGCGGGTAGGCCTTCGGTCAGGACTTTCAGAGCCACCCCCCTCTTTCCCATTCTGACTTATTTAATTCCTCTTCCTCTTTGTTTTTCTTTAATTTCCTATTCTCAGAACTTTCTGAAGCACAAGCTAGCAAGTTACAGGTCTCTACACAGATACTATTATCCTTGAATTCGTTTACCAGTAAACATGGGTTCTTACGACCCTCTTCCTGCTTCTCCTCCCACTTCACCGCCCAATGGTTTCAATGGTCAACAAGATGGTTATTCTACCCCGCTGTTTGTTCAGCAGCCAAACATTCTATTCATCATGGCGGATCAACTGGCTGCTCCTTTGTTGAAGATGCACAATCCAAAATCCCAGATCAAGACTCCCAATCTTGACAAATTGGCAGAACGATCAGTTGTTTTCGACTCTGCCTACTGCAACTCACCATTGTGTGCCCCATCGCGCATGTGTCTTATGAGTGGTCAACTGCCGTCGAAGATCAAGTCGTATGACAACGCTTCTTCAATTGGTTCTGACACTCCAACTTATGCCCACTACCTTCGTGCGGCTGGCTATGAGACCACCCTGGCAGGGAAGATGCACTTCATTGGAGACCAGCTTCATGGTTATGAGAATCGCTTGACTGCTGATATCTACCCGGGAGACTATGGCTGGGCGGTGAATTGGGATGAACCAGATCGGAGATTGGAGTGGTACCACAATAGTAGTTCCATCCTGCAAGCAGGACCATGTGTGCGGACCAACCAATTAGACTATGATGAAGAAGTTCTTTATAAGTCCAAACAGTACCTCTATGACTATGCTAGAGCGGCCCCCGGAAAGCGGCCATTTGCTCTCACGGTCTCATTCACCCACCCTCATGACCCATATGCGATCGAGGACAAATATTGGGATCTCTACGAAGGCGTTGACATTGATCTTCCAGACGTTAGAATCAACGAAGAGGACCAAGACCCTCACAGCAAGCGTCTGATGCATGTTTGTGATCTCAAAGGTTACAACTTCACCGATGAGCAAATCAAGCGTGCCAGACGCGCCTATTATGGTGCCGTCAGCTACATCGATGACAATATTGGTCAATTGCTCGAGGTTTTGAAGAAGTGTGGCATGGACGAAAACACCATTGTCATGTTTTCTGGTGACCACGGTGATATGCTAGGCGAGCGCAATCTGTGGTACAAGATGTCCTACTTTGAGAACTCCGTGCGAGTACCTATGCTCATCAGCCACCCTAAGCAATTCAACCCTCATCGCGTCTCTCAGAATGTCTCGACCCTAGATTTGATGCCCACTCTGGTGGATCTCATCGGCGCCAAGCTGGTTCCTGGTCTACCCATGGATGGCGTATCGCTGATCCCTCATCTGTATGGCATTGGTGGTCACGACACCGTCTTTGCAGAATACATGGGTGAGGGCACGGCAGCACCGTTGATGATGATCAGGCGTGGGGACTGGAAATACATCACCTGTCCAGTCGATCCACCACAGCTGTTCAACCTACGAAAGGACCCCAAGGAGCTGGAAAACCTAGCTACAAGCCTGGATCCAGAGACCAGGGCAGTCTTTCAAGCCTTCGAGGCAGAGGCGTCCAGGAAATGGGACTTCAACGCCATCACCCAAGATGTCCTACACACCCAACGCCAGCGTCGATTCGTGTGGAGTGCTCTCACCCAAGGCCGTTTCGAGAGCTGGGACTGGAAGGGCAATGAAGACGGGCGTACCAAGTACATCCGCTCACAAATTCCTCTGGATGAACTCGAGCGAAGAGCTAGATATCCCATCCACAGCACCGTCCCAGCAGAAATCGCCGTCACGTCCAAATCCGAGTTGGTCGTCCGCCAGCCACAACACCTTGTCAACTTGGCCACCGAACCGGTCCATTATCGCTAAGGGTGACGCCAGTGATAATTGAATCTCCGGGTTGAGAGTATTTCCTTGCAAACGAATTTCTTTATTCTTCCGTCGTCGTCATTGTCGTCCAGCCAGGCGTTTCTGGAGTTAGTTGCATTTGTATCTTCGGTTCATGATCAAATCGCATGCATCGCCAGCCAGCCAGCCTGGGTCCTTCAGCCGGATGCAGTCTAGGTAGGTACATAAGTTGTCGACCATTTTGGCGTTACATAGGTAGCTGGAGACAAGTAGTCCATCACCCATTGATTGTGCTTGAATGAAAATGAATATGAATATGAACACCTCCACCTTCTGCCCGTCGACAACATACCATAAGTCAGCGAACAAGTCAGCCAGCCAATCCCGGAGCGAAACCCGCGCGCACGGTGCGGTGCGTTTTACCACCTCGCCACATCACATTACATCACATCCCACGGATATGGATATGGATGGACATTCTGCTCTGCTCTGCTCTGCTCTGCTCTGCTCTGCTCTGCTCTGCTCTGCTCTGCTCTGCTCTGCTC